ATATGAATAAATTTGCGTTTTTTCAATGGGTTTCCTTGTGGACAACCTGGGCTGAAAAGTGCAAATTGTCCAAGCACCACAACATAAAATGGTTCGGCCATTTTTTGTTGTAGTGACCAAAAATGTGGTGTGGATCATGTTGGTGACCAAACATGACCTGCAATGCCCGATTTCATTGTGTCACTTCTTTGTGTATGTTTTTATTTTCGTCCAGTCGTACATGTAGAGGACTTTTTGTCTTTCCACTGACAAAGACTCACCTCACTCGCAAGGTTCCTGGTAGATGCATTCTTTCTCTTGTTTTGATGATCCCGGTTTTGTTTTTGTTAGGACACTTCTTAGAGTAGTTCTAGACTTAAAAACAGTTTTAATTTTTTATATTGCTTGGCTATTCATTCACCTGATCTTCTCCAATGTTCCTTTTTAAGAAAAAAAAATCGAAGAAATAAAAAAAAAGTGTTTAAAATAAATGCAAATTTACGGTGACGGTGCTTGGTAGACGGTTAACACTGGACCCCTGTTTCGCTAACTATGTTATCAACAAATAACATCGGATGATTTTTTAATATTTTGTACAGGCTAGGATTAACTCTGAGCTCCCGGGTGGCATTGTGACTTTAAGAAAATTTCTCAAGCCTGGGGTAATGGTAGATGGGAATCTATGGGTTAGTAATACTATAAATTAATAATTTGCAATTATTTAAATTTGTAGGTAAATACCGGGTTTTTCAAAAAACATGTGCCATCTCTCGTGGGGAGATTCCTCACGTAACAATAATATTTATTTTTCATATCAACATAGATCCGATTCTGTTTTTTTTTATAGCTACAGTGTGTTGCTGGACTGGATAATTGTGAGGACTACATAATTGTTGAAGTCAGTTTCATTTTTTTGGTAAGGTGGTGAAATGCAATTTACGCACGAAGTCTCGGGCTCTCTTAATAAATACCGACTAAAACACCTCCTTTTACGTCTTGGACTCTAGTTCGGAACCGTTTAGCACATTAATAGTCCGTTTTTTATCGCCCTCGGACTCGCTTCTGTTTATGGTATCAACGGTTGTCCAGGTCGCTTTTCTTTTCCCTCAGTATCTTTTCCACATACCTTGATATGCGGTTCCAGTTTTCTGGGCTCTGATGCATTTTTTGGATAATGTTATTAGGGGATAGTTGTCCTTCAATTTCTTCCTCGATATTCCTTCTGTATACGCACTCTACCTGTTACATCTAAAAAAGGTATGTTCTGCATCGTCATAACCTTCGCAGTAAAGGCATACTGGTGATGTTACCTTTCTCATTTTTTCAAGATATGATAAACAATACTGGGTCAAGTAGTAATTTATTTCCCCGTGTTGTCTTTGTGTCCAGGTTTTCACCGATTTAATAAGTCGCGCAGTCCAGGGACCCCTACTCTCCTGTTCCCACAATCTCTGCCATGCTTCATAAGTCCTGTTGATTTCCTCCTTTTTAACTTCTTTTTGGTTCAGTTCGGTTTTTCTTTGGTATATGGCATACCGTTCTCTGGGAAGAAGAGCTATAGGTGCTATCTCTGCGATAACCAGCACTACATAATATACAACATATAAGTTAAGGTATCTACTGAAAGGGCATGTAACTTTAGCAGGCATCCGAAATCGTTCGAAAAAAATAACAATTCTTTGGAGTTTGGATTTTGTTTAGCTGGTAGTGTAACGCAGCCTAAGTGTAACATGGCTATTCCAAAGCATTTTAGACAGTTACTAAAACTTTTTGCCTAAGGTTCTAGTTCAACAACAATCCTCGATCGATATTTCCATTTAATGCGAGATACAAATGCTTTATTAGGAATACCATTTTTCCTGATACAAATAAGAATACTGTTACTAAATGTTCTTGACACATTGAGGCTAAACTATTTTATCACAGATTTTTTTGACGATCTCTTGTAATACCTGACGTACACATATTTACCAATTTTGTTATAATGTTTTTTGGATATTAATAAGAGTAACTCCATCCTTCTTTTTATTTACACTTTTTGTACTTTCAATATTTAGTCGTTTCGTACATAATATTTGTATCTTTAGAACTGAATCTTACTTCAGTATATTATGTCTACCAAATTTAGAAAATTTTTGTGATTCTGCTTCAGGTCATCGTCAATGAGGCCTTTGAATCCTTCTTCTTTCCTATGAGTGATACTTACCCTATTCAAATTCAATTCTCTATACATATGAAAGTTAATTAATACGTTTGATATTTGTTAATTAACAAATTAACTCAGCAATGTTAACGATTTTTAGCCGACCATACCAACAGCTATTAAGATCGGCAATTTTTTTTTTATTTCACTCAAAATGCGTTATTTGGGTCATAAATGACCTAAATACAAAATATTTTCATGGTGTCTGTCCGTTTGTCCGTCTGTCTGTAACACGATAACTCATAAACCGCTAAACCGATTTTAACCAAATTTGGCACAAAAATACTGTGGCATCCGAGAATCTAGCCACTAGTTTTTGGTGGGTGTGGGGGGTTGGTAAGGGGGTATGGGAGGGGGTTAAAAATTAAATTTCAATTCAAGATTAGGAATAATATTTGCAACAAAATTTGTAATAACATCAAAATCAGTCAAAGTCGCAGTTTTTGAGATAAAAAAAAATGGAAAAATTCCTTTACTTTGAAACTAAAAGAATTGCCTACAAACTTTTTTTAACATATTTTAGTATGGGCGGCTATACGTGCTTCCCGGCGACAAATTTTTTATGCTATAGTTAATAAAGAGTGACAAAGAGATGTCGGGACATGTCATCAGGTCCTGAATTAAAATTAAATATTGCGAATACTCTATTCGTTTAAAAAGCGAAGTAATAAAACGGTTTATAGTGACCAAGTTGGCCATAAACCAGTGGCTAGAGGGCTGTTCTGTTTCTTTTACCTCATGGGTTTTTATAATTTATGAAAATAAATTATAAACTGTATTGTAGTTACGGAAACTCTAATTACAGTAGGACTCAGGACTTAACAGAGGAAAAAAATATCGTTCATGGGGATTAAACTGCCAGTATCAGATACAGGATCGGTTAAATGGAGGAAAGGTAGCGCAAATTGATGCTCAATAAAATGCCGTATTGCATTTTTATTTTTTATTTTTTTTGCATAAAATATTCTGGCGATGAAATTTTCTGTACGAAACGTCGGCAAATATCAAAGTGACTATACATAGAGTTTTAAGAGTGATGATAGGATTTAATTAAATTGAAAAAAAAATCAGGTCCGTATTTAAAAAAAATTAAGTTGATGATGGTCGCCAGAAGCCGAAACGTCAGAGTCAATATTTAATCACACAGAGTCATAGAGCAGAAAAAGTGGCCATAAAAATGTGTTTTTCATTTTAAGTTATCTTAACAAATAAAGCCAGGAAACAATAGAAAACAAAATTGAAAATTCTGTTTTTTTTGGAATATATTCGGAAGTATTCAGAATTTTTCAAAATGCAATACGGCATTTTATTTAGCATCAAATTGCGCAACTTTGCCTCCATTTAACCGATCCTGTATTTCTTACGGTTTCCGAAATCCCAATGATGAGCGTCGAATTCGAGCTACCCTGTACATGAATGACAGTAATGTGATTATAGTATAATCACATTAATCACAGGGCATGGACCTAATGAAAAAGAAGATGAAAACTCAATAAAAGATTAATTAGAAATAATTTATTCAAAAAAGTCCTATGGATATTTGGCCACTCTAAGAAAACCTACAAAATAAAACAGTTATTTTTTGTAAACACTACTGCGTTAATTCAACGGAGACTAATTGTCAGCAGTGGTTTACTAATAAACCAATTTGCCTAACGGACAAAACAATGCTTAACGTTTCGGAAAGTATATCTCTCCCCGTCGCGCGTCGTCGGAAGCAAAAAAACACAAAGAACAAAGAGAAAAAAAAAACTATTAATTAAATTAAAATAATTAAATGCAACTATTCGAGATAACAATTTAGTTTTTTAAAACATATACGTCTATAAAAACCGTTGACGTTTTATGTTTCTTTAAGACTTCCCTCGTATACAACTTTACGTTAGTTATAAAACAGCAATATTCATTGCAAAAATCATGGACCGATTCCATTATTTTCTTTGCTATCTATACCGGGTGCGTCTCAAAAGTGGCTATAACCCCTATAACTTTTTTTAATTTTTCAGATAAAAAAAACGAGATTTGGTATGTTAGTATCAAATATTTCACCGGAAATGACTACAACTTTTGATTTTTAAATGGCACCCTCGGTGTTTTTTTGCTTTATTCCATATAAAATGACATTTTGAATAGAATGACACATCATATGTTAACTTTTGACATTCTCGCTTAATAAAAAATCGTATTTTAAAATTCAATCTAGAGTGCCATGGTTACTTTTAAGAACACTAATCCTTAATCAAGGAGCATTGGAAAAATAAATTTGATCGTCTAATGCTTTTAGTGTCTTGTCCTGGCCAGTTAGAAAATGCTCAAATCGTATTTTTAATCATATCCCAAGTTTTTCAAATGGAACAAGGGTGGTTCATTAGCATATTTGGAAAAAGTATTTTTTTACGACACACTTGGTATTTCGAGTCAAATTTTCGTAACGAACCGCAAGTTATAATTTCAAATAAACCATATGCGAAAATGTCAAACGTTGACATATATAAATAATAAGTTGTCAGCGCATTCAAAGTGTTATTTTCTACTGAATAAAGTAAAAAAAATACCGAGGGTGCCATTTAAAAATCAAAAGTTGTAGTCATTTCCGGTGAAACAGGAAGTGACCGAAAACAATTGAATACGTCAATCAATCCTAATTTATGTCATATACTAACATACCAAATCTCGTTTTTTTAACTGAAAAAATAAAAAAGTTATAGGGGTGAGCCACTTTTGAGACGCACCCGGTATATAAACATGTTTCTAAAATTTCTAGTGACTCTTGGATAGTTTTAAGCTATTTAACTAATGCCTTTTTGTTTACTTCTAGATTGAGGAAACATGTTAGCTATGGAATATGGCACCGTTGGCGTTCAGCAACATAAGTATGCCTGTTCGACTGTGTCTTCAGATACACTCAGCGAAAGTTGTGGTAGTAGGAATAATAGAATACGAACAGTCAGGTAAGCATAAACACCTAGAAAATCTCGCAACAAGGTGCGGTTTTATATGCTAAATACGAAATCTTGCTTTCATTTATGTTGAATGTATACAAACATAAAGAAGAATATTTAATGTTACATCTGTCGTCAAAAGTGTTATTTTTTTAATAGGAATTATTTTATAATCATGTTGACTTTAACAATGTAAAAATTATAGTGAAAGAAACGATAGCCCCAAAACGAAAAATATGAGAGGTTTTTTTTGAAACTAATAAAATATAAATAAATGTATTGCCCAGGCATCTGTAGGTGTTAGTAATGTAATAACTTCTTTTTGATTTTTTTTTCAAACAGATCACATAGATCTTAGTAAAAATTAAAAAAAATTATATAAACCAAAAAAACTTAAACTAAAAAAACTAAATCTAAAGTGTTGTTTGAATATGTATTATTACATGCACATTTAAAATAACTTTTTTCGTTAATGTCTTGAAAATGACACTCTCTGAAAATGCTACTGACATGCTAGGTGCCGTTTAAATTTAACACAGTACTAATATTTTACAAAAATACTGGTCTCTCCTTAGACCTGATACCGGTGTTTTCCCGTATCTATAATAGAGGATATGTCCCTCTTTCTCTATTGCCTCCTTGAATTTGAGGCCAATTCCTATTGTGAGGATCTGACCATGACCCTCCTCCCTCGAGTTGATAACTCGCCAACTCGATGTTCTGGAGCATTGAAGTTCTGACCTTGGATAAGGCTCAGCAGGTAGGTGGTGTCTTTACCCTTGCTCCTTGGCAGAAAGACCGTTGTGGCCGCTCCTTTAGGGACGTTTTCTCCCTTCACTGCAACCAGTTCCGGCCCTTGCCAATTTTTAAGCTTAAGTGCGATTTCCCCAACCAATTCGCTGATTCTTGAGATACACAATCTATGATGATCATGCCCACCCGAAAGTGTATCACCGCAAAACGCAGCTGACCCACATTTTGTAGATCGTTGTGTTGCGATCCGATCGCCACTACTTCGTCCAGTATAGCCTCTTCTAGAGACGTTTGCTGGTCGGTGGTCAGAGCAACCTCTGGGAAATCCTTTGGCAGCACCGCCATTTTCACTTGTCCAACAAAGCGGCAAAGCTGGTGATACGTCCCTGCTTGCCTCCAGGTGTTGGACGGCTTTCCATCCTGGCTTTTTTCTCTACCTGCCGGAGAAGAGGTGAGAGGTTCTCGCTCCCTCTTTTGCCCTTTGATGGAGATAAGTCAGGTTGTTTGTTGGTTTCTTTACTCTCCGTCTTACTTGTAGGCCGGTTGACCTACTTGAAATATGCGCACATAGTGCATACATAATTATTTTACGTAAACATGTATTAAATAAATGTATCTTAAAGTTTTATAAACTAGTACGAATTGTAAAATCAAAAACTAAAATACTAGGTAATAGAGAGAATACTATAAATTATATCATATTCATAATAAATTAGTGTTATATAATAAGTTATTACAATTTTGTGCTAAAGATTTTTCGTAGCATTAAGACATGTCGTTAAATGTTTTCGTCTAACTGTTTGTCTGACGCGAAACATTTTCTCATTATTTTTTTAATTTGATGGCTTAGCGACGATGTCGTTAAGCCATCTAACGTATTTGTCCGGTCTTTGAACTTGAAAAAAGAGTCGTTTTGGTGAATTCCGCGAAGAAAGCTCGATCGCTAGAGCTAGAACACCGAAACGATCTGCGACGATCCGTGACTGAAATATTCTAAAATTTCCGGCAGCATCACTTCGCTCGAAGCTACTCGACATCGGATAATATGTGAGCTACATGATATTAATGAGGAATAGTTTAGCACAGACCACACCTTAACCATATAAGTCCAAACCTAAAGATGCGTCCAGACCTGACGAGACGAAAGCGAGACGAGCGCGAGACATTCTAAATTTGCTAAGTGTGGACGGGTTAGGTTAGGTTGTGTTTACAACCCACGGAGCCTCGTTGCTATCCGTTCTCTGTCGGTTTTGCGAGGGCCGATCAAAGAAAGCTCGCGGCACAGTCTGGACGTGTGTTTGAAGGCTCGCTCTACTGCGAAATATTAGCTTTGATTTACGAATTTCGACTATTTAAAAATTAAGTAATCTCAAATTTTTTAAATGGTATTTTGCGTCACTGAATAATTTTTAAAATTCGACAAATTTGCAAGTATCCAATGAAATGACATACTCGTCAAGTACACGTGGACTCTCTGCCGCTTCTACCTGATCTTATTCTGCTTTTCGATTTTTTTTGAAAATTTGGAATTTTTTGAAAAAAAAAATTGTAAATTTGTTAGTTTTTAGTTAAAATACATAATTTCTTGATAAAATAGTAACGTAGGTAGTAGTAGATTAAATTTACAAGAAAGAAAACCCAGAGAAGATCCAATTCTCAAAATTTAAGAAAAAAACCATTTTTTTAAAAATTTTCATAGTAAAATAACTCGGTTAATTTTGAATTATTTGAAAAACGGTAAAGAGAAAATATGTTTCTTTTATCGAGATCTACCAGCCCTGAAAATATTTGCACTTATTTAAAACTCACCCTGTATATTAGCCAATTTAGCTTATTTTAATATTATTAGTTATGAAGTGGACACTGTGATAAAATACTTCCAATTAAAATTCATCCATGGTTACCTTTGAAAGAGATATAATATCAACCTTTAATCGTTTGTCGCAAATTTGTAAATGCCCTACCATCAAAAATTTGCGTTGTTCGTTGTGCGCGTCTGCACACTTAGTTTTTCCGTGTTTCTTGAATAATTAATTGATAGGGCCCACTCTAGAATATGTATGCGACACAAATTATTTCATCATGCTTTCTCAATAACCGACAATCGATGGAAGTTTGGGGTCGATCTCTAGACGTCATTTACTAAAAATTGTCATAAAACTTATTATTAAAAATAATTAATAAAAATAACTAATTAATATCACTAATTATATAAGGTGTCACAGTTCAAACGAAACAAGGCAATTTAAAGGCATTTCTGATGTGAAAAGGACAAAACGGTTAAACACGTCAACTTTATTTTCGAAGGGGAAATAAAATGCGACTATTTTTGAAGCACCTAATTCAAACCCCACGCGGGGGTGACATCCACCCTTAAAATCTTAAACGTAATGCGTGGTCGAGTAGCACATCATTTGTTAAAGGTTATTAAAGCCTCTTTTCAGCGCGGTCTCATTTTTGGAGTTTTGTCACATTTGGTGGAATCGGGCTGAAAATAAACTTTTCATAAATTGATGATGCTTTGATATTTGATTAATTTTACAGGAATCGAAATGGGGTCTAAAATAAGAAATTTAGATTAAATCAACAAGATTTTGTTTAATGAATAACCTAACACAAAAAGTAGTACTCTGCTTTGAAACACTTGTGGCGATTTAGTGTTCCGTATATGAAAAATTTACATTCATCCGAAAAGCACATGTTGAAAAGAAGATGCCATAAATTCCAGCATTACACAAATAATTGAGAATGAAGATCACTATGAAGAAAATCAAATTGTGTTTCAACAAGATGGAGCTCCTCCACATTATGCTGTACGTGTGCGGCTGTATCTTGATGAAACATTTCCCGGTCACCTATAATAATTACATGGCAGTCATAGGCAGTCTTCTACATAGTCAATTGCAGTCGCTTAGCAGTGGAAGGATATTTTGGCAGTACGTGTACATTTTTTACCCGAGTGAGACACCCCTCGGAAGAAGGGGACCCTTTCTTGAACGGCCAGCTAGATCACCGGATTTGTCTCCGCTGAATTTTTTATGGGGGTATCTCAAAACAAATGTATTCGCCACGCAACCGGAGACAGTAGAAGTATTACATCAAAGAATTGTACACGAGTGCGCGGTAACCAAACACCAAACAACCGAAACATTACAACACGTCCGAGAACGCTTTCAGCAGAACCTGTATTCGTGCATGAAAGCAGGGGGTGCTCAATTCGAATATTTAATCAATACGGGCAAGCAGGGTACTAATTTTTGTGTATTATTCCTTAAGCAAAATTTAACCACTAACTAAATTTCTTATTTTAGACCCCATTTCGATTCCCGTACAATTAATCAAATATCAAAGCATCATCAATTTATAAAAAGTTTATTTTTTAGCCCGATTCGATCAAATGTGACAAAAACTCCAAAAATGAGACGGCGCGGCGCGGCGCTGAAAAGAGGCTTTAATAACCTTTAACATATGATGTGCTACTCGACCACGCATTACATTTAAGATTTTAAGGGTGGATGTCACTCCCGCGTGGGGTTTGTATTAGGGGCTTCAAAATAGTCGCATCTTATTTCCCCTTCAAAAATAAAGTTGACTTGTTTCACCGTTTTGTCCTTTTCACACCAGAAATGGCTTTAAATTGCCTTGTTTCGTTTGAACTGGGACACCCTGTAGAAAGATTAAAAAAGAATAGAACGTTTCCAGACACACAACTCTATTTCTAAAAAAATGTAGTTTAAAATTTCTTGAATTTTAAACTACACCATTTAAAAATATTATTTCTCAATATAGTAATAAATTACAACCTCCTTAAGGCCAACAGGCAGTAAGCGTTTAAAAGAAGTTTGGCTATTTTAATCTAACTATTTCCGTAAGGGGCAAATTATACGAGAAAGAGCAGAATCACATAAATAATATATTTAGACTAATTACCATATTTTTTTATATGATTATTATTTTTTTAATTAACAACTTAGTACAAAGAAAAAGCTTGCATGGTTTCCACCGCCAACAGGCGTTAAAACAAATGAATCCAAGGCGTTGTCAAATATTTATTGGGATAAGTTGATAAGTTTTTATCGTTTGAATATTGTTGTAAATAATAATTATTATCATTTAATTAGTGCTAACTTATCAAAGTTCACAACACGGCGAAATTTCAATAAAATCGGCCAACGGATTTTGAGATATTAATAAAAAAATGTCTATTAGGAAACATCTTCACACCCTGTATCTTTAAAATTATGCATTTCCGGACACATGTTTAAATTAACTTTTTACATTAAAAACACTCAAAGAATCACCTCCTGAAGTTAGCCAGATACTACTTAATTAACACCCTGTATTTAAAAATGGCTAGCTAGTGATTTTGTAAGTAAAGCTATGTTTATTTTAATAGAAAAAAATACATTTCATAAAATATAAACAAACCCATAATTCAATTACTATACACTAATTAATTAACTTTAAATGCATCTAAATAGGCACTTTAATAATTGAAAAATGGACATGAGCACTTCATAGAGTATACCAAATATGTAAAAAAAATTCTAATAAAAAATCCACAAATGGCACATTAAAATCTGCATTATCTGAAATCACATTATAGGCACCTAATTAACCTAAACGGCTAATCAACCAGACAACAGTGACAAGACGCCGACATCGATAACGCGATGAGCAGTTTTTAATAATTATTCCGAGTTAATACTTCAAGTAGCATTCCTTCAAATAAATTTTAATTTAAGTATTGTTAATATAGTCATATTAATGACTATAGCCTGTATGATTTCTAAAATAAAAAATCAAGCGTGTTTTTATCAGAATAATTATTAAATGATTAAATAGAAATAGTTAATATTTATTAACTTCGTAAGTGTTACATTTAATACCGTATGATCGAATAAAAAACGGCGTCAGCGATGGCTATGAAATGACGATCGCTGTCATTTTATATGTAAAATTATATGGGAAATGTGTCATCGATCGTCATTTCCAAGCCAACTGGACGCCGTTTTTTCGATCATACGGTATAATTATGGATTTAATAATTAAATAATTATCTTAAGGTTAAATTGTGGTAAACTTGTTATGAGTTTCAATCATTTATATTTAAAATCTTAGGGAGGCAATATAGATTTTAGGCAGAAGAACTCAAGGGAAGGACTGTGTAATTAGTAATTAAAACTTTACATTTTTTTTACTTGCCATTTTTCTTGTCTTTCACGTTGCAAGTTGACTCTTTGTTGTGTCACACACAATCTGAATTTCGGATATGATGCAGAACTGATAAATTAGACCAAATATATTAATTGCAAGGTATGCAAAGAAATATTTTTGTTGACTTTGCAAATACTTAAGGCATGCAATAATTTAAAAAAAATTGACGTGAGATTACTTCATAATTCTTGAAAGCCTTGGATGAAAAAGATTTTAATTATTATGGGTCTGTTTTGTTTAAGAAGCTAATAAATAATTTCAAAAACTCAACTATCAAAATATAATGGTAGAAAATGTTAATTGGACATACTGAATGTAAACTAGGTATACATAGTTGCTGCAATCGATAATATATTTTGCTGCTTATTTTACTCATAACAAAAACCCGTCAATACTGCTACTCACATTATGGGCACCTTTTTATACTTAAATCTCATAATGATTTTTAAAAATACATATGTAGGTACATACTATAAGTAGTGGTTGTCACGGTTTTTTTATTAGGTATGATGAAAGGAAGCTGCAAACTAAATTATCTTTGGAGCCAACTATATTTTAATTTATTTTTATCTACAGTAACTATGCACAGTAAGGGTTCAAAATATGTCTATACTGCGAAGCAACTCAATTCGAGTATAAATTAACACTTACATTCCAAGTATCTTCTTGGTCTACCGGCACCCTGTTCACCCTTATTCCATCATTTCTATAAAAATAGTATGATTTATAACTTTTAATTTTTATTGAGAAAATTGGTGAAATTTTGTTGTATGGCGAATTTAAATTTATGGGCCCTCAATAAATACACCGTAAGTTCGAATATTAGTTAAACCTAGGAATACCCAGATAATAGCCGGAAATATACAAAAGAAGGGGTGAGTTTAGGTTAGAGTAGAATTAGGTTTTAGTTGGTTTTGAATTAATAAAAATATAGACCTAATCTAAACTTAACCGAAACTGACCCACTTTTTGGTATATTTCGGGCTCCTACGTGGGCAACTCTACGTTTAACCAATATTCGGGCTTTTACGGTAACATAATACTCATTCTGATTGGTTTAATCTGGCTCCATAACGAAACTGTGGGTTCGAGGTGCTATTGCAAATTAATGCAATTAATTCTATGTATACACTTTCATAAAAAGCCATCACGATAAAAATTAAATATCAAAATTATTTAACGTTGCGAACTTGTTCACTATACGTATCTGGAATATATTTGCGAATGGCGATCAGCGATACGATGGTGCGTCCAGACCTATGGAGACGAGCGCGAGACATTCCAAATTCGCTGTGTGGACGAGTCTCGCGAGAGCCTCGCGAATCAACCTACAGAGCCTCGTTGCTATCCGTCCCCTGTCGATGGATTTTTCAACGGCCGATCAAAGAAAGCTCGAAAGTCTAGACGTGTTTTTGGTAGGCTCGCCCTACTGCGAGATATTAGGTCTGATTTATAAATTTCGACTGTTTAAAATTAAGTAATCTCAAATTTTTAAATCGTACACTGTATGTATTATCATTTTTTCTGATAGAATTTACAAATTTTGCGTCACTGATAATTTTTACCCTACCGAAATCCAACATTTCTTTAAACAAATAGAATTATTACAACATCTATTAATTTTAGATATATAATATCAAAAAAAAAGAAAAGTTACCGAATTGTACGTATGTATAACCCAATAATAAAATAAAAAATAGTGTATTCCCATTAGAAAATATGTTATATCCGTAACACTTTTTTGAAGTACCCTGTATACTCTATAGTAATGTTAAAATGTGCTTCTTAACCTTACCAATAACTTTTCTATTTAACATTTTGTTCTAAAAACATTAAAAAACGTATTATGTAAAAAACGTCGTGTAAGGGATAAAGGGGAAAACAGCCAAAAGGGGGAAAACCGACGATGAATACCATGTTAAAGACCGAATACCATATTAAAGATACAAAAATTTATTACTGTATGCGTTATTATTTGGCCATCGTTTGTTATATTGAATTGCAATTTAATATGTGTTTGGCTTCCTTTCACTATGATCCCACTCGGCTTGTCTCGTGGCAGGTTTGCGTAAAAAATGGATAGTTTACATAGTTAACAGTTTACTCGACGCAAATTCTTACCAGCGCAGCGAGGACGTGCCTATATATTACCCTTGTATATGAAGGATATTACTTAGAAACAATAATTAAAATATTTATTTATTAAGTACTACTTTTACGTTTTTTAGGCTGGTGAGGCCTTCTCATGGACTTTTACCACCACCAGGATTGAACTACCGCCATGGTCCGTCTTTGGGCTTCAGTATTAGAGGCGGTCGAGAACATGGTACTGGGATTTTTGTATCTTACGTAGAAATTGGATCCGAAGCTTACAATCAAGGCCTTAGAGTGAGTATATAAGGTTTTATTTGAACTATAAAAATATTAGTTAATGAATAAACATCCATCCTTCTGAAGGTTAAAAAGGGACACCTGCTTTGTATTGAACATTTTTTTGGCCACATTGTTTATTATTTACTCAAGATATATTTAATTTTGTCTATACGGCCAAAAAATATGTTCAATTTTGTCTCTACGTTTAAGATCTAAAGCCTGTCGAGGAAAGTCGATAGATGACATCCTAAGAAGAAAATCAAATGAGAAAATACAATTTAACTGGGAGAAAATGATAGACAATATCTGTTACTGACATGTATTCTCTCGTTAGACTACGTTTCTCGGTCTTCTTTATATCTCGAGGCACGAAAAGCTCGAGTGTCTCGAGTATCTCGAGAAATTCTGTAATTTATCATTTATATAATTTGCAATTATTTTAATTTATCATTATAAATAAATAAATAAATAAATGCCTTTATTGTCAAAATGTTAACCATTAATTTTTGATATTATTTTTTAATATGACAGGTGGCTCTCGTGACTATTGTCCTAAGACATACTATTAACGCCGCATTAGATACATTAAACCAAATTAAAAAAAACGCTAAAGCATAGCTGTACAGAGTTGGTTTTAGTAAACATTAATAACAATAACAGAACTAACAATATTAAAGAAAACACAACAGTAGCAAATAGAAGAAAACCTGTAAAAAGTACCCAAGTGTACGTTCACACACGATTAAGCGTTGGACGATGCTATGCTATGCAATGCTATGCCTTTATTGCTTGCTATATTTTCATCGTGTTCAAACAGAAGGCAATGGAAAACGATTTAGTTGGTAGCTTAATGTGCAACAAGCACCATGGATGCTAAAAACTTGATATTATTAGAGAATTCGCTTTTAAGATACGTTTTTTTAAAAAGATTAACAAGAAAGTCAATGGATACATGAAATTAATCGATACCCTGATAAATTTCGACAGTATTTCCGAATGTCATTAGAGACGTTTAGGCATATTGAAAATGGTGTAGCGCCATGACTGGAAAAGGCGACTACAAATTGGAGGTTGCCAATCAGTGTCGAAGAACGACTTGCAGTAACTTTAAGGTACGAAACAAAATAGATGCTAATTAGTATGCTGTTTACTTAGTTTATTACTCCATTTACATATTTGTATAAGAGTGGTTTGTGTCTGAAGAATAAGAAGGCAAAACCAATGGTGTTCCAACAGCTTCGTTTGTTTGAATCTGTTGAGGTTGCACCGTAATATTATTTTTATAACGTAAATCGGCCACCGTGGCTTCGTACAGTGACTTCTGCATTTTGAGCGATCTAAAGACGCGGGCGATTAAAAACAAACATGTTTGAAAATCAAACCGACGCGCAATATCGCAATTGCTGTCCTCCATTCGCGAATTTCAAGTTCCAGAGCTTTACGCCCTGGGCTGCTCAGAACGGTTCTGAAAGGAGCTGTGCGCCGATAGCCTGGTGCCTCCACATGGCGCGGAACAGTTCTGAACTTTATTACTCAATTGAATGGAGTGAGAGTATCGCGTTCTTGAACAGTTCAGAGCTGCACAACTGCGTGAATGGAGGCCAGTAATTGCATAGTATAGCAACACATCGCGCGAACTCGCGCGCTTTTTGAACACCCTCACTAAAGCTTATGAGTTTAAAATAAACGCAACGCGTCTCATCGCATAGCTTTCTGTGTGAACTTACACAGATTACTTACACTCGTTATTGCCTCCCCTGGCTGTTATAGTTGCCTGTAGACGTCAGTTTATATTGCCAAGTGCTGCAAATATCATATTTTGTTATGTTTTCCAATTCTTCTTCAACGACCAAGGGAAGTTCATTTAATGAAGCTGGTACCGATTCGCGACCTCTAACGGCTCTAACCTCCTGCCAAAAGCATGGTTCTAACTGAGAAATAATGTTTTAGGAAAATTTGCTCACGAAATTATTGTACAGAATGTTAAGGTAAAAAAGCCATATACTAAAGTTTATAAAAAATTGAGTTTATGAATTAAAGTTGATGCTTATATCTAGTTTTTATACAGTAATAAATTATTAATATTTATACATATATAAAGTTTGATAAAAAAAATACAAAAATAGGAGTAACAATAAAAAAATAACACTTTAACTTTGACAAAAAAGTTTTTTTTGCATTTAAGTGTTGTTTGGCTCAACTGCCCTTAAATAATTTTGATAAGTATAAGTACAATTAATCTTTCAGAAATTGATATCCATAGCTATATAATTGCAAAATATGAAGCAAGTTGGTGTTATATTTGTTATATACCACATTATGCAAGAAATGCAATATAATACAACAAATGTAACAAACTCGAAATTTGTTACACCAATTCCTGATGAGCAGCCACGACGCTTTTTTAAAAGCCGGCGCCTCTGCTTAGTTATGTATTTTTTATTCTATATTTGACATAAATATAAGAAAGGTAACTGATTTAACATTTTCATCAGTGTATGTATATTATACCTAGTGTAGAATGTATATTATATTTTTCAACCATACGGTGGCATCAAACAAAGATGAGTAATACTGAGTGGAACTATGCTATTTCATACAATACATACATATATTAATAACAAATTCTATTAAAAATAAAAGTAAACTAACGTTAATTTTGTGACGAAATTGAACGGGAATTTCTCACGAAATTATAACATTTCGAAGAGAGAACAATTCAGTTCGTGTTTTTCAATTCGAACTTAATGGTATAATTCCCACATTGTAATGGATGATGAGCGGATTGCCTTCGTAATTACGAAAGAAAGCGAATTTTTTACTTTCTCTGGAATTTGAGATTGAAGAGGGTATATAAAATTTATTATCAAAAAGTTTAAAGTACTTTTTTGATCATAAACTTTAATTATTATAACAGTTGGGAATATGTTTATCTTAAAATATTATAAAATATTCGCAATGTTTCTCCATTTTTTATAGTTTTATGGTATACTGTAGTTTCCCTTAAGACCTAATATAAAATTAAATTAGCGGAGATTTCATTTCAGTAGCAGATGAAATTAAATCCCAAACTAGGTTCGTCACATGCATCAGCTAGTAAAAAATCACTGGTGGAGTAATCTCCACCCTACTGTGGAGTTTGGTAGTGGATGAACTACTAGACAAATTATAACTCTAGCGGGAATACACTGCATAGGTTATGCATATCGCTCAGAGGAAACATGAAGTCAACCTGTGTGATATTATCCAAAGAGGACTCCATATCACTGAGAAATGGTGCAGAACTGTCGCCGGGGTGAGCATCAACTCAGACAACTGAAAAGAATCCAACTAGAAAGAGATAGTGCCATTACAAAAAGTCAAATATCTGGGAATAACCCTGGAGAGTAAACTTCTATGGGACAGGTATATTAAGAACATTACAGCAAAGCCACAAAGGCTCTCACGATATGCAAGAAGACTGGCGGGAATAGATAGGGCTATGTCCCTAACATTTTGCGCTGGATGTGTAAGGATATATAAGGATGCGCTGGATGATAGTAAGACACATGATTATCTATGGACCAGTTGCTTGGTACACAAAAGAAGAGTAACAACAAATACAAGCAAGGCAAAACCTGTGCAAAGTGTAGAGAATGTCATGTATCTGCATTACAGGAGTTATCAGAACATGCCCAACAGCAGCAATAAAGGTCATTCCAGACTTAACACCACTGCACATTGTCGTCGGTAGATATGACAATACGACAATAATTAGAATGGTCATTGACGGAAACAGTACTGGGAGAATTGTTAGCTTAGGAGCTTGGAACACCCTCAAAAGGAAAATTTCACTCCTCTAAGTCCCAGTGGATGGCATGCCAAGAATTTACAATTTTTCAGAAACACGTCCCTGTAGGATTGCAGAAAGCAAAAGACCATACCATAACATGGTAAACTGATGCTTCCAAAACAAAAGCAGGAACAGGTATAGGAGTATTTGGGCTAAACAAAAAAACTACGCAGAAATCTACGCTATCGTAAGACCTTATCTTAGACGGGAACTATCGGAAACAATAAATAGATATTTTATGTTATGCGATTGAAAGCGATCAACTCAGTAATCATCAATTTGAAGTTGATCAAAGAATGTCTAGAGAAGCAGAACAAAGTAGGCAAACAAAGTCCTCGTATTCTGGGTGCCCCCCTCCCCAAGGGATAGAAGACAATGAAAAGGCAAACGATCTAGCTAGGAAAAGAGCGAACACTCCACTAACTGGACCAGAACCGTTCCCAATGAAAGATTTCCAAGTGGAAACCAACTTAAAGCGAAACTCAAAAACCTGGAAGACTCCATCCGTAACCTTTAATCGTAATCTTCCAACGGTCTAAGACACTCATTTTCAAAAATTTCTCAGAAATTACGACCGACAAAAATCAAAGATTTTCCTTGATTTAAGTAAGAACAATCTTTGGATTGTCACGGAGTTTTTAACAGGATACTGTCGGAATATACGGCGATGCATATTCTATGGGAAATGGGGAAACATCAGGACACCTCATCGCATGCGCCGAGATGACAACCATTCGTGCCATGAGGTTTGGGTAACGTTGCGATGATTAATCCCCTCCCATACATTCTACATTCTAGTAAAAAATCAATGGAGATCAAAACACGTCTTTTAAAATGTTCATATATTTCTGAGAAGTTAAAAAAATTATCATATATTTAATATATCATTTTATAGTAATTTTATAGTACTTATAGTACTTATTTTTAATACCTACCAAACTATTAAAAATCTCTAATTTAAAATACATTAATTTTATTGCAACTGCATCAGATTACACTGTAATTAACTACATTTATATGTAAGCAATGTAATTGTGTAGTGTAGGTAAACTATTTGGTAAAATGTTAAAAGGCGCTTCGGGTGAATTGTTTTGTAACCAGTTGATACACAGAGCTCACGCCTACAGTCCAAAGGAATTTCGTTTCGTTCTTAATTTATGATTTCCTCTAGTACTACTACTAG